CCAGACCTAACCCAGACTTAATCCAGACCTAACCCAGACCTAACCCAGACCTAATTCAGACCTAACCCAGACCTAACCCAGACCTAACCCAGACCTAATTCAGACCTAACCCAGACCTAACCCAGACTTAATCCAGACCTAACCCAGACCTAACCCAGACCTAACCCAGACTTAATCCAGACCTAACCCAGGCCATTTCAATACATTGACATCAAACGTTTCGAACTGTGGTTTATCAGCTTTTATGGATCGGAGCATTATCTTGTCGATAAGTCCATGAAATGTGATTGTTTGCACGAATAAAAGGCAATAAATGATTTTCGAGTATTCGAATATACTCCACACTATTAATTCGTGTAGTTGGAAAAGCTAATCTGCGCTCGCCACAGGAGCAGAATGCACCCCACACGATAAGCGTCCCTCCACCGAAATTACGTTTCGAAAAGTATTTTTGTTCTTTACGAAGCTCCCTCCAATATCAATCAAATCCATCCGGACCGTCCAAATTGAATTTTTTTTCGTCGGAGAAAATAACCGAAGTTAAATAAGGAATATCGAATATGAAGCTAAAATCTCGATTTACGAATGTCTAAATTTAACTTACATTATTCCAATTTCTGCTCATGTTTTCTCGCGCGTGATCAAGCCTGGCTATTTTCTGACGTTTCGGAAGTGTAGGTGCAGACATCATTTTTTGTCTCATAATGTTTGAATTATGTTTAAGGACACGTTGGACGGTCCAACGAGAAACGCCCAGATCACGTTCCTTCGCAATTTGTTTACAGCTTTTTAACGAATTGCTCGCCAACTTTAGCAATTTGCCTTTCAGTACGGGGGGATAACTTCTTTTTGGGTCCCCCTTTCTTATTTTTCCCATACTTAGTAGGATCGCGTAAAAAATTGAGTACAACTTTATGAGATCGGCCGAGTTCACGTGCGATTTCACGTATCCCGATTTGTTGCTCTCTGTACGCTGAAATTGCACCTTGCTCTTGTTCATTATGCTAGCTGCCACGTGGCGTTGTATCAATTAACTAAGAATTCCCGGGTTTACTAAAAAAATTCCAACAGAAAGCCTTGAAGTGCGTTAAAAATGAACCGGTTCTATCGTTTTGCACCGATCGTCAAACGTTTATCGATCAAATCTTGACATATAAGTAGACAACTTCAATGAATTTCACCTAAAATCCATTACTTACAATGCTTTCTCATACCATATAATTGGATGTTTCAAATTATTTTCTTGCAGGTCGGAAATGTTAAAAATGTTAGTGGTGCTATAGTTATGCTCCGCAGTGTATTAATGAAGGATCTCATTTTTACGGTTATAAATTTCTATAAATGTTGCAATAATAGTACACTGTTTAGAATGTCTTAAATAGTGCATTCGAACATCTGTTGCTTCCAGAATCGGATTCTGGAATTGTTGTGGAATGTTCTATGAAATATGAACGTAATTTCTAGGGTCAACTCACAGTAATCTAATAGAAATTCATGGTCGTTTGCTGTCTGTTGGCGTTGAACTCTCCCTTGAACCCTGTGTTGACATAATTAATAAGTGTAGAAGTGTGTTTGAACGGTAGAAACTTTTGCATTCAGGTCAGAATGATGGTCACTTTTGCTAATTTTTGCGAAGATCGAAGACTGGTGTAATGAAAACATTCGAAATATTGAAATTTATAGGATAAAAGTGTGCTCGTTTTATGGTAGATTCTACTTTAACACATTACCGACCGATAGCCTATTAATCGACTGTTTTACCGACCAACGCTTACCGGCTGAGAGCGTATCAGTCAACTGTTTTACCGGCCAACGCTTACCGACCGATAGCCGATTTATCAACGGTTAGCGGTCGGTAAAGTGTTAAAAATTGAATTTGCTCTATTATTAAATAGGATTTTTGGATCCTGATCTGCTGTGCCAATAAAAATTTTAATAGAATAACCTAGAAATTAAACAGGATACATTCTATGTCTCTTTAAAGAAATTTTGTATCTAAAGAAAGCAATTAGTTAATGAATAATAAATGGTTTGCTGTCACTAAGGGTAACATTGTGATATCAAACAATTCAATGTTTCATATTCTTGCTGCATTAATAAGGTTTTAATGAAGATAACAAGTACATAGAATGAAATACAAAGAGGGACTGTTATGTCACTAAATACCGGGGCAATCGCGTAACACGTCCACAGATATTACGACAAAACGACGATTTAGCGGACTAATTGGGAGAGGGGAGTGTTCATTAAGTCCTAATGTGTCGAAATGTTGGTGAAATGGCGTGTGTGGGAGACCAAAATCGATAATTAATGAATTATATAAACGAGATGCAACCCACGTTTACTTTAAAAATTAATTTAGCATGGATATAGCATCAAGGAATGTATCAAACTAATTCCTCATAACTTTTGTCAATTTTTATTATAACAATAATATAATAAAACTGTGTTATTTATTTTATTTATAAGCAGTATTACTTAATTCATTTTTTTATGTATATTTTAATGTTTGAAAGGTTAAATCGAGGTGATTTGATCTTCTAGAAATTATCATAATTTAAAAATGGAAATTTGTATTTGTCATACATATTTCATGTGTAATAATTTCATAATTTCATATTTTCTCTTTTCATGGGGAAAAATTTTAATGGGAGATTCTGGCGGCCAAAATAAGACGAAAATTAAGAATATCAATTTGTTGATCGAGGCTTCGTTAAAAAGTTATTAACAAATTAAATTTAAAAATTTCAAATCATCGACGAAAAAATTATTTTTGGTTACAGGGGTCAATTGCAATCACTTTTTGTGAATAGACATATCCACGAAATCTTACGCATTTTCGAGAAAAAAATTGTAGAATATATCAAATTTTTTGGGGAAATAAAAAAATTTCAAATCGTTCCAAAAAAATTATTTTTGGCTGCTAGGGTCAATTACAATTATTTTTGGTCAATACACATACCCTCGAATTCCTACACACTTTCCAGAAAAAAATTCACAACCGAAAATCTAATGTGAGAACAAAAAATGCTTCCCTGAAATTTAATATGAATTTTAAAAAAATCATAACTTTGGAACAGATTGGAGGATTTTAATGTTTCAAAAGGCAAACGACGCGTATTTTAGCGAAGAATATTTAAAAATTCTAAGAATATTGAAAAACTTGTTCCTTGACACCATAAAATGAGAAAAACCCCGTAGAAATGGTCCAATTTTCAAACGTTCATAACTTCTACAGTAGTGAACCTATCTCAATGAAATTTGGTATGGGAGTAGAGCTCACGGGTATCTACAAAAAAGTACTAAACAAAATTCCCGTAGGACGTCGAACAAATTTATTAAAAATAAAAAACAAATTTCAAAGAAAAATCGACCTTCTGAAATTTCGACAAAATTAAAAAATTACAAATCGTACTAAAAAAATTACGTTTGGCTGCTGGAGTCAATTACAATCATTTTTTGTCAATACACATACTTTCGAATTCCTACGCATTTTCCAGAAAAAAATTCGAGAAGATATGACAATTTTTGGGCGAAAAAAAAAATTTCAAATCGTTCTAAAAAAATTATTATCAGTTACAAGGGTCAATTACAAACATTTTTGGTCAATACACGTACTCCTGAAATCCTACTCCTTTTCGAGAAAAAAATTGTAGAAAATGTTGAAATTTTTCGGGCGAAATCAAAAAATTTTAAATCGTTCTAAAAAAATTATTTTCAATTACAGGGGTCAGTTACAAACATTTTTGGTCAATAGACATACCCTCGAATTCCTACTCCTTTACGAGAAAAAAATTCTTTTACCGTAAATATACCGGGTGGCCAGAAATGTTCTCATAACTTTTTAACGAAGCCTCAATCAACAAATTAGTATCCTTGATTTCCGTCTTATTTTGGCCTCTAGAATCTCCCACTAAAATTAATTCGAGAAACAGTAATATCTTAAATTTGCAAAGTAAATATAAAGGGTGTTTAAAAAAATATCACACATTGACAAACATACACAAACAATACAAACTCAAATATTTAAATATACATTTCCACGTGATAAAACATCTCTAAAAAATGGAGACGTCCAATAAAAATTACAAACACTAATAAAATAATGTTACAACAATTTTATTTCAAACTTGACTCGATATAAGATCGCAACGTTTCCCTCTTAACACTAAATTCACGGGCACTGATCGCACGTATATGTATTGATACCTTTCATGTTGACGATTACCTTACAATTTTTATTTTAATTAGTATATACAGGGTGTCTCACCCGATTTTGACATCTCGATTTTCTCGCTATTGTTACTCGTAACAAAAAATGCTCCAGCGGAGGCTTGAATGGTATCGAGTGTAGCATATTCTTACGTTATTAGTTTCATCGAGAGTGGACGGCGTAAAGGTCATACAAATGTCAACTTCGTTTTTTTAAATGGAACGAGGTATTTTTTAATACATCGATCGATTCAGCTGGACAATCGTTATAAAAAAGTACTAACTACGTAACGTCGAGAAATTAGTAGTTCTGGAGATATTTCAATTTAAAATTCAACATAAGTTGTTAAAAAATAATATTTACTCTGCAATTTTAAATATGGAATCAGACATCCGTAAATCCAGTGTTAAAAGGGTTAAAAAATAAGCATTCCTCCAAGCTCGCTCGTTGCTCGTCGATTAGCATCGAGCACGGAACGTTAATCGTAAACTGATTAATTCGTTCCCAATTAAGCGTCCCGTGGCCATGAAAAATGCACGGCGAGGCGATCTTCTTCCAAGAATGCAATTGTAACGGACGGTACGTCGTACGGTACGAAAACACGGACAACGATGCAAATCCTAGCGTTGGGGGAGGGGAGCGCTCGAGAGAGAGAGAGAGAGAGAGGTCGATGGGTAGTGGCTGGCCGGTCATTGGCGCGAGCGAGAGGGGAGGAGCCACCGTAACGCGGAGAGTTCGAGTCAGCTTGACGGTGCCGGTCGCCTCAGTATGCCGCGCAGCGCGCAGGCTCGCGTACGTGTATTCTCTCTGTCCCCCCTCCACTCTCGTTCACCGGTCTCTCTCGCTCCGGGTGTCTCCTACGCACAGCAGCGCGGCTGGAATACGCAAGTACAAACATCGATACAACTGTTTACGCGTTCTCGTTGTTCCGCGTGAATCTTGTTTTTTTCTCTCCGTCCAAAATTCCGGTGTCGTACCGAGTGCAGGCCACGAATTCGATCGGGGGAACCTGTTATCGACGCGTGTGCGTGTGTGTGTGCGCGCGTGGAGCTCCGTGACACAGTGACACCGTACGTGAGACGAAAGCGCCCCGCGTCGAAAGAGCGGGAAACTACGTGTGCGTGGAACGACGACGATTTTGAATCGGCCCGAGGATGGTGAAGTGAAGGATTCCAACGGTTTGCGAAACTCGCAGAGAAACGACGGCGCTGAAATGTAGCGAGTGTATCCCCGCGCGATCGATACAGCGCCACGGTAAATATCAAACTGTTCGTATTTACAGCGCGAACCGACAGCGTCGAGCTTCGTGCATGAACACGATCGATGGCGTTTCGACTGGTACGACGAGGATGCCGTGAAATCAACGACTGATGGAACGTGAGAATGAATGGCCTCGAGTTGTTCGGGAAGCGCTGTATCCCGGGGCGCCATCTTGGTCGTACAAATCGCGATCGTTGATCGAACGCTGGATAGTTCGAGAGTGGGTGCAACACCCCGGAAGATCCCCCCATCGTGTTAATATACAAGGTGGCCAGAAAATCGCGGGAGTCGAATGGAGCGGCGCGGAGAGGATACGAGGCGCTTTTATTTTTAGCCAATCGCGAGAACCGGTTCCCGGAGTCGGTCTCGGGCTGGAACCACGAGGTAACGCGCGTATATAGAGAACGGTTTTAGCTGAAAAGGGACAACGCGATATAAAGGTGGAGTTATGGTACTCGTTGGAGGAAGAAGGATAGAGAGAGACGGGAACGTGGAATTCGCCTAAGCCCGATACAACCTCTCCCCCTGCCCCTTTACTTTCTCTTTGGTGGTATCGATTGCGTGCATGCACGCGGGGAGCGCGGGGCGTGATTCGATCATCGAGCGAGACTACGACGACGCGATGTTTGTCGTCGATGTAATTAGTCGACCTTGATACAAGCGCTAGGATATCGGCAAACGATTCGAATCGACGCGAGGAAGCAACCAGTGGTGTGTAAAGTGCGTCGGTGGGAAAATCGACTGGGACAGATATTGTTGCGTGTGGGACGGGATCGACGAGAGACGAGGCATGAAGAATGGCAACCGATTCGAGCAACCGTCAAGACGTAAGGGCGGTCGCCACGACGACCACCGATCCGCAGCGAAGCGAAAAGCGCGCCGTCGCGGCACGAGGCGCCGCCGGTGCTCTGGCCCTCAGTATTCTGGCCGTGGTCCTCCAATCGGCGGCCACGGCGACCCCCACCTGGGGATACTTCACCAATCCTGACGGTGAGTCATGCTTTTGAAATTCCGAAGATCGTTTGCCCCGCGTATTTCCTCGATTCGACGACGAGAAAAATCCGATTTTCTTCTGGCTCGAATTCACCGTACCGATAGTGATCGATTATCGATTTACAGACGGTTTTCAGCGCTACGCTCGTTTTTACTCGGGAACGGTACAGAAATAGTGCAATTTTACCAGTCACGCTCTGGCAAACATTAAGCCTATTTTATATTTAACACTAGATTGCCCAAGGAAATAATTTTGACTGCTTTTTAATTTCAATTAGAAAAAGAATTATGTATATAATGACACAATTTCTTAGAATTTTGTGACTTTTTGTAGAACATATAAATGCGTTTATTAATAATTGTAGTTACCTCTCCCCGCCCTCATTTCCGGTATACCTATATTGCCTAAAAAAGCAGTCATTTTGACTGCTTGGGAAATTTTAAATAATCAAATGACTCTTATTATTGAATTGAGTAAATTTCATATGTGACCAGTTCGACTCTGTATTGAAATAACAGTTTTCATTTTTGTTCGCTAACCAACACATGATAACATACAAGTACATGATAAATTGTCGATTTGGGCTTACCTAACCCAGACCTAATCCAGATCTAATCCAGACCTAACCCGGATCTAATCCAGTCCTAACCCAGACCTAACTCAGATCTAATCCAGACCTAACCGAGACATAACCCAGACCTAACCCAGACCCTGGATCTGGGTTAGGTCTGGATTAGATCTGAGTTAGCTCTGGGTTAGGTCTGGATTAGATCTGAGTTAGCTCTGGGTTAGGTCTGGATTAGATCTGAATTAGATCTGGGTTAGGTCTGGGTTAGGTCTGGATTAGATCTGAGTTAGGTCTGGGTTAGGTCTGGATTAGATCTGAGTTAGCTCTGCTCTCTCTTTATATAATAGTATAGATTTACTATTTAGGTTTCTAATTGAAGTTGGAACAATTGAATATTAAAAACTATCCGTAACTACAGTAATGAAATTACTAATTATTCTTTCATTAAATAACTAACATTGAAAATAAACATGTATAATCAATGCCAAACGCTAGAATTTTCTTCAAAACTCCTATCGAAATATAAACAATTTACTATTTAGGTTTCTAATTGAAGCAAGTTGGAATAATTGAATATTAAAAACTATCCGTAATTACAGTAATGAAATTACTAAATTAATTAACATTGAAAATAAACATGTATAATCTACGTCGAACATTAGAATTTTCTTCAAAATTGCAAATTTTTCCTGAGACTTTAGAGCTGTATTATAAGTGGTGCATGAAATAATTTCCAAATGGCGGGAAATACGAATGAAGAAGGTTTCCTTTCATCACTTTTTACCGCGAATCTGATAAAATCAACGAAAAATATTTCTTCTCGATCTTTCAATGTCATCTAAAGATCACTTATATGTGTGTTTTAAATGGAATGCTATACTTCTGACTCATTGTCAGTATTACGAGTAAATAAAAAAGAAGATTCAACACGTTCGAAGTCACCTTGAAATAATCCAAGGCAGATATTCAAATAGGTGGAAAACAAGCCGTACATACTTTATCGCTTTATTCGATGAATTAATAATCGTTTCAAAATGGACTCTAACTGCATCCACTATATAGGGAATATTGCAGGAATATTTGTGTGTAAAATTTGAAATATTTTTGAGTTATTAGAATACTGGTAACATTAATTTAAATATTTTTAATAATTTCATTGCGATGTTACAGGGAAAAATTAATTTAGAAATATTGTTCTGTCTATGTATTAACGATTTATGTTTTAGTTATTCCACTTATGAGCTTTTATTTTAGTCGTACCAATTTATTATGCAACAAGTTATTAATAAGCTATTAATTAGTAAAATAGTGGTTTTTTTTTTTTTAATCTTTATCAATCTTTCAATGTGTAATTGAATGTAAATAATTTTTAAATATAGAAAGATGTAAGAGTGTTGTCAAAATTGATAATTATAAATACAATTACAATTCAAAAAATTTGTCCTTAGAATACATTATTGTAATTTGATTAAGAAAGAAATCCTTTTATTAGGAAAATTAATTCTCCTAAATTAATTCTAAAATGTGGGAATTTTAAGAAGATTACGAAAATAAATGCCGAAAGAAATTTTAGGTTATGTAGCTTACAACGTGACGTAGCAGTCGAAGTATTAAAACGCAATTAGAGGAAAGAAAGTACAAAAAATGTGGAATTTGAAATATAGAATCCAACAAATATATAAAAATAGGCTGTAGATGCAGTTATAGTCTATTTTGAAACGATTATGTATAATGCATTATATCAGCTATTTCGTGGGCCACTGTATGGATGACAGGATTCATCATTATGATGTTAGGGAAATTAATTCTCGAGTTAAGACATCGAGAAAAATAAATTCGGATAAAATTTGTGAATTTTAACAAGATTAGCGAAAGAAATTTTAGGTTATGTAGCTTACAACGTGACGTAGCAGTCAATGTGTTAAAAAACACAATTAGAGGGACGTCGAGAAAATGGGAATTTTAACACTGGAAAGACTGAAACTTAGTATATACCTATATTGCCCAAAAGCAGTCAAAATGACTGCATCGTGAAAGATTAACTAATGTGTAAAGAAATTTGTTTAAAATTAATTTTTAATATTATGGTATAATATTATGAATTTAGGGCGCAGAAATAAAATAAAGAACTTGTTAGAACATGTATCACTGCATCGCGGATATACAGGGTGTTCGGCCACCCCTGGGAAAAATTTTAATGGCGGATTCTAGAGGCCAAAATAAGACAAAAATCGAGAATACCAATTTGTTGATGGAAGCTTCGTTATAAAGTTATTAACGTTTAAAGTGCCGCCCTTACTGAATTTTTTTCTCGAAAATGCGCATGATTTCGGGGGTATGTCTGTTCACCAAAAATGACTGTAATCGAACCCTACAACCGAAAATAATTTTTCCACAACGATTTGCAATTTTTTAATTTTCTCGAATAATTTCACACCTTCTCTATTTTTTTTCTCGAAAGTGGGCAGGATTTCGTGGGTGTATCTAATGACAAAAACTGATTGTAATTGACCCCCGCAGCCGAAAATAATTTTTCCACAACCGATTTGCAATTTTTTTTCTCCGTTGAAAAATTTAGGCAGCTAATTGGATTTTCAGTAAGGAATTTTTTTCTCGAAAGCGCGTACGATTTCGGAGGTATGTGTAATGATAAAAAATGATTGCAATTGATCCCCGCGACCGAAAATAATTTTTTTTAGAACGATTTGAAAAATTTTTTTTCGCCGAAAAATTTCACCACCTACTCGATTTTTTTTCTCGAAAGTAGATAGGATTTCGGAGGTACGTGTACTCACCAAAAATGATTGTAGTTGACCCCCGCAACCGAAAATAATTTTTCTAGAATTATTTGAAATTTTTCAATTTTGTCGAAAAATTTCACATATTCTCGAATTTTTTTCTGGAAAATGGGTTGGAATTCGGGGGTATGTCTATTCACCAAAAATTATTGTAATTGACCCCCGCAACCGAAAATAATTTTTCTAGATCGATTTGGAAAATTTTAATTTTGTCGAAAAATGTCATACCTTCTCGAATTTTTTTCTCGATCATGCGTAGGAATTCGGGGGTATGTCTATTCACCAAAAATTATTGTAATTGACCCCTGTAACTAAAAATATTTTTTTCAGAATGATTTGAAATTTTTTAGTTTTGTCGAAAAATTTCACACGTTCTCGAATTTTTTTTTCGAAAGTTGGTAAGAATTCGAGGGTATGTCTAATGACAAAAAATGACTATAAGCGACTACTGGAATCGAAAATAATTTTTCTAGAGTGATTTTAACTTTTCAATTTCACCGAAAAATTTAGACTGTCGATTTTTCTTAAAAATTCGTTTTTGATTTTTAGTAATTTTGTTTGACGCCCTACGGAAATTTTGACTAATACTTTTTTATAGGTACCTATGGGCTTAACTTCAGAAAAAAGTTTTATCAAAATATGTTCACTATTCTAGGAGTTATGGCTGTTAGAAAATTGGACCATTTTTATGAGGGTTTTTCTAATTTTACGAGGTCAAAGAACAACTTTCTCAATATTGTTAAAATTTGTACATATTCTTCACTAAGATACACGTTGTTTGCCGTTTGAAACATTAAAATCGTCCAATCCGTTCAGATGTTATGATTTTTTAAAGATTCGCCTAAGTGACATTCCTGGCCATAGAATATATTTTCAGTAAGGAATTTTTTTCTCGAAAATGGTTAGGATTTCGAGGATATGTATATTGACCAAAAATGATTGTAGTTGACCCCCGCAACCGAAAATAATTTTTCCAGCACGATTTGAAATTTTTGAATTTAATTGTTAATAACTTTTTAACGAAGCTTCCATCAACAAATTGGTATTCTTTATTTCCGTCTTATTTTGGCCTCTACTATCGCTCATTAAAATTTTTGCTAGAGGTGGCCGAACACCCTGTATAAAGAGAGAGCCGATTAGCAGTAGCAGTACTGCGATGTCACCGCCAGGTGGCGGAGCGTCTCGAGCGCTTTCTCGCGAGAGAATTTCAGTATCGCGGATATATATGCCAGGACGATCGTTTGGTCATGAATTATAGATATTTGTGTTGAATGTTGGTTATTTAATGAAAGAATAATTAAATTATTCTAATGATGAATTGTTCCAACTCGTTTCAATTAGAAACTTGAAAACAGTTAAATTGTTTATATTTCGATAGGAGTGGAACAATATTAAAATAGAAACTATTGTATGCCAATATTTGTATTCCACGATAATTAGTCTAATTTCTCTATAATCTCGTGTGATTTGCTAGCAATTAATTCTGATAATACAAATAAAAAATATTGTGATATAACTTCTTATATTAGAATAACTCCCACAAAATTATTTTAAAATACAAAAAAACTGTGTTACTTGCAAAATATTGTGATATAGCTTCTTATATTAGAATAACTCCCAGAAAATTATT